CGGCCTTGCAGCTCCACTGCCAAGCCCCATGAGGGGCCCGGCGGTGGACCTGCAAGGCCGGCGGGAGTGCAAGGAAGCCCCGTGAAGGCCCTCCCTGGCCCCAGGCAGGCAGGGGTGGGGAGAGGCAGGGAGGAAGCAACTTACCCTCCCTCTTCTCCTGCCTCCTCCTGGCTGAATGAGGGCCGGAAGCAGGGCAGCCGGGTGCAGGGGGCGGGGCTTCGTCATGTGCCCCGCCCCCCTGCACCTCACCCGGGGGAACTGCGATCCCCCCCGAAATGACCTCTGGTCTTAACCACTTGAGCCACCGCAGCTCCAGCTAAGGCATAGTAAGTAACTGCTAATTGATTTCTTTTGGCCTGTATACCACTGTTGGAGTCAATACCTGTCTGAAACGTTATAGCTCCCCCTACCGATGTCATCAAGAAGCTCCTACCTGTGGAGATGCTGGGCTGGATCCGACCTGTTTGTCTTTCTCACCTTCCTACTGCTTCCGTCACTGGAAGCTGCCTTCTATTGAATCAGACCACTGGACCACCCTCATGGGCAGCCTTGTCTACTCAGACAAGGCAGCAGCTCTCCAGGGTCTCAGGTAGAGCTCTCTCATCTCACCTCCTTTTAACTGGAGATGCTGGGGATTGAACCTGGGACCTTCTGCATGCCAAGCAGATGCCTCTCCCCCCAGCCACAGCCACTCCCCTGTATGACTTCTGTCTATGGATTCCCCCGAACCCCAGCATAGCTTTTCCGGTGGTCAAAAGGGACCCCCCCCCCCTCCTCTCCTTTCCACCCATGGAAAAACTAGTTGGATCTGACCTGTTTTCCGCAACAGCTGGAACGCTGCCACAGGTAAACGCTTTTTGACAACCTCCAAACAGGGCCGTGACACTGACAGTTTGCCCCAATATCAGAAAGGACCCGTATACCTTCCTTTGTTTTTTTGAAGGCAAACCCTGCTCTTTCCGATGGTGAGGAAAATTACCTCAAACACTTTCTCAAAGTGATGGAATTCCTGGAACCGCGTCTGAAATCCCTCGGCGAGCGCACCCCCTGCAAGGGATAACAGAGCGGCTGGACATGATTATCCAAGACGTAAGCCGGGAGGGGGCAATTAATACATTGAAAATAACAACAACAACAACAACAACAACAACAACAACAACAACAACAACAACAACAACAACAACAACAACAACAACAACAACAACAACAACAACAACAACAACAACAACAACAACAACAACAACAACAACAACAACAACAACAACAACAACAACAACAACAACAACAACAACAACAACAACAACAACAACAACAACAACAACAACAACAACAATAATAATAATAATAATAATAAAGTAATCGTCTCCTTTTTCAATTCTTCTAACCAGATGGAATGTTCAAGAAACTTCACATCGAGACATTCGGCACGCACCTGCCTCCGGCATTCCCTGAGCTTTCTGTTTTCTGGCGCTGAGGACCTCCTTGGCCGAAACAAAAAAGATTCGGTTCTGGGCTTCGGAAGGGTCCACGACTTTGAGCTCGTCCACCAAGAACATCAGGCAGCGCTCCATGTGCTGCTTCCGCACCTGAAAGGAGACAGGAGCGCCCAATCAGGGGGCAACGTCGGCGGCCGAGGAGCCAATGTGGGGAAAAAGGAACGCGGCCTTCGGAGCAACGTACACGTACGCTTCCCTCGGCAGAAACACACATTTCAAAATCCCGTAGTTTTCACCCAAATCTGGCACCAGGGTTGTGGGAATCGGTGTGGGGGTAATGGTTAGATTAGGGTCTGGGCGACCTGGGTCCAGACCCCCTGCACTGGATGTCCCTGAGCCAGCCTCTCATTGACCCCAGCCTACCTCACAGGGTTCCTCTGAGGATAAACAGAGGAGAGGAGAATTATGTCTGATACCCTGAGTTCTGCGCAGGAAGGGCAGGATAAAGATACACTACGTGGCTAGCAGAAAGGCCAACGGCCCAGTTGCGGAACTCCTGATTTCCATGCAGAACGTCCCTGGTTCCATCCCCAGCGTCTCCAATCAGAAAATCCCACGTAGTGGATGGTTGAGGATGACCTTTTTCTACTGGAGCCAAAATCCCCATGGATACCACGGCACCTGCCCGACTCCCTTTCTGGTGCCCTCCAAGTGCTTTTAGAACGTGGGTTGGGCCAGGTGGGGCTTTTACCCAGCAAGCCTTCTGACTAGGCCCTGGAGATTGAATTGGGTGTGCAGATTTTTAAAAACGGCCTCCGCTAACACCAGATCAACCGAGAACCGTAAACTCACGTCCTCCATGTATTCAGGCTCCGATGCTGAAGCATCCCAACGATTGTTCAGGATGAAGATGTTTGGTTTGGAAAGTTTTTCATTCACTTTGTGGAAGAAATGCTTCTCCTGAAAAGAAAATGACAACAAAAGTTGACAAATTAGAAGAATGTATTTATTTATTATTATTTATTTATCATATTTATACCCCGCCCATCCTGCGAACGGCTTAGGGCGGCTAACAAAGTGGTACCATGTACCTAATAATATACCATAAAAATCTTAAAAACTCTATAAAATCACATACTCAATTCAGAAGAAGAAGAGACTGGATTTATACCCCACCCTTCACTCAGAGTGGCTTACAATCTCCTTTCCCTTCCCCTCCTCACAACAGACACCCTGTGAGGTAGGTGGGGCTGAGAGAGCTCTTTCGAGGACTGCCCTTGAGAGAACAGCTCTGACAGAACTATGGCTTTCCCAAGGTCATCCAGCATCTGCAAGTGGAGAAGAAGAAGAAAAAAAGCACAGACCCCTATTCAGAATCTCTATAGATGGAAAGAAGAAGAAGAAGAGATTGGATTTATACCCCGCCCTTCACTTGGAGTCTCAGAGTGGCTTACAAACACCTTCTTAAGAAGAAGAAAAAAAGCAGATCCCTATCCAGAATTTCTACAGATGGAAAGAAGAAGAGATTGGATTTATGCCCCGCCCTTCACTTGGAGTCTCAGAGCGGCTTACAAACTCCTTTCCCTTCCCCTCCCCACAACAGACACCCTGTGAGGTGGGTGGGGCTGAGAGAACTCTGACACAAACTGCTCTTTCAGGAACAGCTGTGCCAGAGCTTGTGACTGACCCAAGGTCACATCAGCAGGTGCAAGTGGAGGAGTGGGGAATCAAACCCGGTTCTCCCAGATTAGAGTCCGCACACTTAACCACTACACCAAACTGGCTTGCCCCCCCCATTGCCGTGCAAAATGCCCCCTGAAATGCTGTTCCTGGGGGCAAGTCCCCCCCCCAGAACAGCACTGGGGGGGGGGTTGGAGGTCTGCCACTGGAGGTGGAAATAATCTAAAATCGACTGCATCCCCCCCACGTGTGCATCTGGAAACGATCAGCAGGATTCAGCCCTACGTTCAGTAGGACAGCCTTGTTAATGGTAAGGCCCAACCGGTAGCATGACGGATGCCAAAGCCGGACAGCAGGGAAACTGAGCCTACGGGCGTCCAATTCAGCTCCTGACTGGTTATGTGGCCTTTGGCAGGCTATTATTTTTTCAGCTTCAGCCCAAGATGCAGAAATTACCAGCCTGCCATTACAGGGCTGTTGGGAGGAGTCCAAGAATGCCTGAAGCCTTGCGAACACTCGAGTCTCCCTCTGTGAACAATTGGTACTGTTGCCTAGGCCTCCAACAGGTTCCCAAGTTGCCAAACTGGGGCCAGCTACCACCTGGAGACCCTCCAGGTTTGCAGGAAATAATGGAAAGAACTGTCGTCGTCCCCTACTCCCTCCACACACACTAAGTTTGGCGTATAAATCCTGGAAGTGAGTGATGCCTCGGGGTGGGGGTGGGTGGGGAGAGGCAGGAAAAGGAGTCGGGAAGCCTAAATGAGGAAGGAGAAGCAAGGAAGGGTGGTGGATTACGGGGGAGAAGGGGAGCCAGAGGAAGCAGTAAGGAAGGGGGAAACGGGGGCTCTCGCTCCCTGCCAGTCCTTAGTGGTATCCTGTTACTAAGGTTTCCCTTGCTCGAAAGCCAGTCGAATCCGACTCTAGAGGGCGGTGCTCATCTCCGTTCCCAAGTCGAAGAGCCAGCGCTGTCCGAAGATGTTTCCGTGGTCATGTGGCCGGCATGACTAGATGCCGAGGCGCATGGAACGCTCTTACCTTCCCTGTTTATCTCCTTGTAATTTCTTGCTTTCGAACTGCTAGACTGGCAGAAGCTGGGGCCAGAGACAGGAGCTCACTCTGCCACGCAGCATTCGGGTCTCGAACTGCCGAATTACAGACCTTCTGGTCTGCAGCTCAGCGTCTTAACCTCTGAGCCACCGTAGCCCCTATACTGTTACTACAAATTCACAAAAACGTCACTGAACTCCACGGCTTCGGCCCACGATTAGAACCCCGGCTCCCGTGAAGGGATTGGTCAAGTGACTATTTACCTTTCTTCCAAGAAGGGAAGGATACAGGCATCAGGCTTCCCATTAACTCCCCCAACCAAAACCCAGGCCCAGACTAGTTTAGCTTCACTTCAGGTTACCGAATCATAGTCCCTGGGAACTGCACAGTGGATGACGTGCCAAATCACTACTGTGGGATATTTTTAAACACTAGGCATCTGACAGAAGCAAAATGCCAGCACACAGCAGCCTCACACACACACCGCCCTCCTGAGACACACATGGGCACACCATCTCCCTTCATGCTGTCACAGCATAAAAAGCAGCAATAAAACCAGGAAGAACACAAAACAGGAAGGCCATAAAAACAACTGCAAAGCAGGGAATAACCCTTTATTTGAAGACCTGGGCAAAGCTTGGGTGTAGTGGTTAAGTGCGCGGACTCTAATCTGGGAGAACCAGGTTTGATTCCCCACTCCTCCACTTGCACCTGGCTGGATGACCTTGGGCAAGCCATAGCTCTGATAAGAGCTGTTCTTGAAAAAGAGCAGTTTCTGTCAAGAGCTCTCTCAGCCCCACCTACCTCACAGGGTGTCTGTTGTGGGGAGGGGAAGGGAAAGGAGTTTGTAAGCCACTCTGAAACACCTTTGGGTAGTGAAGGGTGGGGTATAAATCCAATCTCCTCCTCCTCCTCTTTGAGCCTGATGCCTGAAAGAAAATGCAGGGGAACAGACAAGCCTTGTGGAGGAGAGCAGGTGGGAAAGCCCTGTCTCATCACTATATGGGCCATCTGCACAGGGAAAAGGGGAAGAGGAGGAGGAGACAGGATTTATACCCCGCCCTTCACACGGAGTATCAGAGCAGCTTCCCTTCCCCACAACAGACACCCTGTGAGGTTTGTGGGGCTGAGAGAGCTCTTTTGAGGACTGCTCTTGAAAGAACAGCTCTGAGAGAACTGTGACTGACCCAAGGTCACCCAGCTGGCTGCATGTGGAGG